CAGCTAGGTCTGTGGTGGGAGAGTAGAGGGCGTGAGTTACTAGTTGGTCAATTTAGGGGCCAATAGGTGATTGCTTGAGCCTGGTGTCCGAAGTACCCGTACGACGAGGCTCGTTCGACTATGCTTCAACCAGGGCTGGGTAGCTAGCCCTGGTGCCTGTCACTACTGTTCGGTCCAAGTTCCCCTCGATATGTAGGGTGATGGTCCTGAGTGCTGGTCACACTGAGGTAGGATAGTACGGATAGGGGATGCGCTAGGAGTATTGACGTGAGGATGGGATGGGTGGTGGCCTCGTCTCAGAGCGACCATGGCTGACCGCTTCCGGCGATCAATGTATGCCTAGTAACGGCCTCTACAACACCTTGGACTTAAAAAAATAAAAATAAATAAAAATAAAAATAAAAAAGGATTGGTGATAAGAGCATCCATTAACGACCATTTCGTCAAAATGGACATTTTTTATTTTTTGAACGAAATTGAAACCGAGTTTTTTGGTCGAAAACTCGTCAAAATTTGTTGTTCCTGAGGGTCCAGCGTTTTACAAACGCGGGACCCCCTGGCTTGTACATGGACCTAGCTTGAGACCAGGCACCTCCAGGCAGGACTGTCTGGAGGTACCTGGTCTCAAGCTAGGTCCATGTACAGCCAGGGGGTCCAGCGTTTAAAAAGCTGGACCCCCAGGAACAACAAATTTTCATGAGTTTTCGGCCAAAAAACTCGGTTTCAATTTCGTTCAAAAAATAAAAGATGTCCATTTTGACGAAATGGCAGTTCATTCCTTATTACCCAGTTGAGACTCCAGTCTATTGGTGGGGAGTATCACCTGCTGAGAACCGGGTTCAGTGTCCCTTATACAGAAAATCAAACTGTTAAACATACCAATTTTAATGAGAACCAATTGCGAGGCCACTGCCTCTATGAGCCCCATTCAGCCCCTTTCCGGGAGCCTGTCGGCCGCCCTAAGTGAAGGCAGGCTCGACGAGGCCCCTCAGGGCCTTACTTCGGCCTCTGCGCAACTCAAGGAAATTCAGGCAGTTGCGCAGCGCCAGTTGGTTGAGTGAACCCAGACCCTGGGCCGCCTGTGTGAATGTGAAGTTCGATATGGCTCATCTTCCTTGCAATTTGTGGTACGATTGCGCTCATCTGGCGCTTGTCTTTTGCCTTATGCGGTACATACATGCGGTCTGCTGGGCGAGTTTGGCCGTAAGTGGTGTGTAGTGAGGAGGGCGGAGGCGAGTGAGTGGCGACCCAGGAGGTGAGGGGATCGGCAGGAAGGCTACGTGGAGTGAATGTGGTCTGGACAGTGTGATGAGAACTATCTAATGTGCGATTGATGTTGAGGTGGAACGGCGAGATAATGCTGGTTGTGCTGATGCAGTGACTGGTCATCGCAATCGCCATTTGGTCATCTGGTGAGATTATCTCTGTGGTTGGGGGCAGCTATTTGAGGTACGTTGCTCTTAACCTTATATACCCTCTCCGACACTTCTTACCGTGAGGTTGTGTGTTCCTTCTTGAGAGTCCTCTCATTGTGAGGTGTAGAGTGCGCTCAACCTTGAGAGTCGGCAATGTTCACGTGGCGCATCTGGGAGAAGATGGGCGGAGCTTTCTGAAGGGCCCTGGACGAAGCACTGGGTCACGGTCACCATGCCAACCCACAGGGAGTAGAGCATGCATGCCTTGCTGCTTGTCCTTTGTTCGGCTTGCTGCGCTGTTAGATGGGTACTGTTGGGCAGGGCAGCCCTTGAGGGAGACGAGACCGGGCGTCTTTAAATAAGCACCGGAAGGGGAACCATTGGCTGTGATCGTCGTCCGACTGCGACGTAAAAGAATTCCTGGAGTCACTTGGGGGCGGATGTTAAATTGCCTCTGGATCAGCCAATGGTTGTAGTGCAGGGCTGGCCAGCTCAGCAGATACTCGGGGCACAGGGGTGGGCTGGACACACACCTTTAGACACGCAACGCCTCCGGATTGCTCAGGGACGCTGACGTCAAGTGATACTCAGGGGAACTAAGGGAGGGGTAAATTCCAGGTGATAAGTTCGAGAAAATACCATGCTGTCCTATCCACACAAATGAGTCTATTTTTATGTTTTGATTAGTTAGATGTACAACCATTGACATCTGGCAGACAACATTAGTTAGAACTGTTTCTTGTTCATGGTGCTTCTGTTTGCAGACTAGTCAAACTAAAAATAGATTCGTTTGTAGGAATTTGGACTTACTTGTTAGAACCCGAATGTATCTGCTCCGGAATAGTTACCAATTGGTTATTTATTTATTTTAAATTGGTTTGTGCACTCTGTTGCGGTAGGCATCTTGAGTGACCTAGTGTAGACGGTGCACAGTGATGTAGCATATAAGCGACAGGGAGGACACACCACCGGACAACTGGATCTTGCGATCAGCTAGACGCCCGATAGCCCACGTGTCCTTAGGACCGGAGGGTGATAGGATTATGTTCCGCCAGCTTAGGGAGAGGCAGCAGCAGAGGAGAGCTAGAGCAGCCGAGGCCAGCAGGGCTTTCGCTAGCGAGGCCACTGCTATAGCAGCCATGGCCACTTCTGCTATGGTCACTTCTGCGCAGCAGACTTCCCAGGCCAGCAGTTCAGGTATCGTCGGGTCAACGGTCGCGCAGACCGTGAGTCAGTCCACTGGCGTTATGGCAAGCCAGGCAGCAGTGTTGACCTCAAAGGATGTCGCCATCCAGCAGGCAGCCCTGCAGGAGGCACAGTTACAGCAGGCATTAGGGCAGATAAAAGCGGAGAAGGAGAAGATGATTAGAAGAAGAGCTAGGATGCAGCGGAGAGGGGCAAATATAGAGGAGTTAGAGACGATGGACCTGACGAACATGGATGATGATGTGAGGGTAGTTAGGAGGGCCCTGCTACGAGTAATAGAGATGCAGGAGCATCAGACTACCATCCTTCAGGATATCCAACAGAGCCTAGCCATTCTGGCAGGGCGTGCTCAGGTGGCACCATCACCATCCGGGCCTGGTGCCTGGCCCGTGCCATATCCTCCTTTTTCTGTCCCACCGGTGACAGGGGTATCCCCATATGTAGCCCCGTCATCGGTTGCGATCGTTTCCCTGGGCATGCCGCTTTCAGGAGGGGTATCACCAGGGACTAGTTTGTAGGTTCCTGTTAAGACAGTGTTCACCCAAACTCCGTCGCAGGTTGCAGTCACCACGCAGCTTGCTGTCTCGCAGCCTGTGCAGCCGCAGGGCACACAGGCCCAGCAGCTGGCACAACAACCTGTGTCACAGGGTCCACAACCCGTAGTGATGCAGGGACCGGGACAGACACAGTGGGTTCCAAAGACGGCCATCGCCGCTCCCAAACCTTTCACAGGGGATAAGAGGGGCGAAAACCTCGACACGTGGTTGAGGGCAGTGCCGGTCTACGTCAGGTGTAAACTTACCTTGCCGCATGAAGAAGTGTTTGTGGCTGCTTCCTACCTAGAGGGTAGTGCAGCAAGATGGTTGAGTGGTTTAGTGCAGCTCCAGGGGTATGGACATGACTTCCGCGCTTGGGCGGTCACCCAAAAATTGGAGGACTTCCTGAAGATAATGGGGGACAGGTGGCACGATCCTCAGGAGGCCCAAAGGGCCACTGATGCGATCCTGACACTGCACACGCGCCAGTTCAAGTCAGTAAGGGAAGCCACCGACGCTGTTGAGCGTCTGATCTGCGTCCCAGGGGTGCGCTATGACCCCCAGGTCTTACTTACCTCGTACCTGAGATGCTTTTCATTGCCTCTCAGGAACCAGTTGGCAAGGGAGGCCAACATCAATATGCAAAACTTTCCTTCGTGCAGCAAGATGGCCCTAGACCTCGAGGCTAAGATAGGGCATGGACAGACACCCACTGCGGGTGGGAGGAAGAAGACCCTCCTAACGGGAAGGTGAAGGGTCGCTTAATGTTTGTCGATAATGATGGTTCCACTATCGAAGTAGACGAACACTTCCAGGAGGGAGTAGGTTCAGAGGTGGGCAGCGTGGAAACTTCAGAGGGTGGAGTGGTCGCTGCCGTAGCTCAAAAAGGAAAGGCGACTGGTAGACGCCGTGGAGGTTCCCGGTCTAGGAGTCAAGTTGACCCCAATGCTCCTCCATGGTAGAAAGTGGGTCTTACAAAGGACGTGTGGAGAGACCGTTACTCACGGCAGGCCTGTATTCGTTGTGGTCAATATGGCCACAACCAATTCAAGTGCCGCAATAAGAAGGTGACAGAAAAGATCCCGCCTACGATGGGGCAGGTGTTGGGATCCTCTCTTCCCGTTGGTAGCAATGTTGCTAGTTTTTCTGGCAGTGCTCCGGGAAACACGTCGGGCCAGTAGGAATAGTAGTTGTTCCTGCTAGGGTCGAGGTGGTGGAGACACCCTCACCATCTCGAGAGATGGCCCAAGCTACTGACTCCAGTGTCGTCCCACAAACACGTTCAGACCCATTGAGCCTTTGTTCGATGAATGTGATTGAGTCCTTAGAGGAGCTAGAGGTGGAGTGGTCTAGATCAGACCCGCTAGCTTCTTGGACGACCTTAGTCAAAGCCCCGAAGGGTGAGATGTTCGTCTGCGAGGTAGTCATTGGCGGCCGCAAGGCCGGGGCCTATTATGACACTTGCTCGACAAGGAACTTTATTAGTCGTGCGTGCGTTGAGAGGCTGCGTTTACAGGGGCGAGTGCAGCGCCTGAGTCGACCTGTGCCAACAAACAGCACATGGTAGTCAACGACTACCTCCAGGATGTTGAGTGTTGTTTCCCGTACGCGGGAGGGGAATTGAGACATCGCGTCTCGTTCCTAGTGAGTGACGAGCTCCCAATGGATATGTTGTTAGGTATGTACTACCTCTCTGTGGCACAACCCCAGTTTGACTGACTGGGACCGAAAAGTGGTCAAACACACTTTGCCAGGTGGAGGGACCGCCATATTACAGAAGTTCAAAGCTAGTAGTCTGATTGAGTCCTACGGGTGCATGTGTGCGGCCGCGTTCTACAATTATTATAAGCAAAACCAGGAGGAGGGTATGTACTTAGTCTATGTCTCTGCTGCAGGCGAGCCAGTGAAAATGCCGCCGGAGATAGAGGGAGTAGTTGCCCAATACCCTGATCTATTTGAAGAGCCGACAGGGGTTGTAGAGAGGGAGGTCGTCCACGCGATAGAGATTATCCCAGGGTCTAGTATTCCGAAGGGTTGGATCTGTCGGATGTCTCCAGGCGAGCTCGATGAGCTTCGCCGCCAACTCAAGGAGCTCGTAGAGAAGGGTTGGATCCAGCCGAGTGTCTCTCCTTATGGATCTCCAGTACTATTCGTACCTAAGAAGAAGGAGGGTACACTTAGGATGTGCATTGACTATAGGGGCCTCGATGCCATCACTGTAAAGAACAGAGAGCCCCTACCGCACATCGACGATCTGCTAGATAGAGTGCAAGGGTGTCGGTACTTCAACAAGATAAATATGAAGTCCGGGTACCATCAGATGGCAATCCGGCCCGAGGATCAACACAAAACCGCCTTTCAGACCAGGTACGGTATGTACGAGTTTGTGGTGATGCCTTTCGGCCTTTGCAATGCTCCTATCACCTTTCAGCACGCTATGAATCGGATATTCCATGACTGCTTGGATAAGTTTGTCATCGTGTACCTCGATGACATACTTATTTTTAGTAAGACTGTCGAGGA